TTTTCCTCATCTCTTGTAACTAAGTTTCCCCCCGCATCCAGTAAAGGATGGAGATTCTCCTTTGTCCTCCTTTTTGTGTTGATGTATTTATAAAAGCGTTTTTTGTTATCTTTAACGGCAGTAGCCAGATTGAGCTCCAGATGAGCTTTGGCCTTCCTAATTTTGTCCCTGCACAGCCTCGCTACATCCTTATAGTCCTCCCTAGTGGCCTGCCCCCTTTTCGAAAGATTATAAACCCTCTTTTTTCTCCTAAGCTCAAGCCACAGTTCTCTGTTCAGCCAGGCTGGTCTTCTTCCCCGCTGGCTCATCTTTGGGCACATGGGGACAGACCGCTCCTGCGCCAATAGGATTTGCCTCTTGAAGAGCGCCCAGCCTTCCTGGACCCCTCTGCCCTTCAGAACCGCCTCCCAAGGGATTCAACCAACTAGTGTCCTGAGCAGCCCAAAGTCAGCCCTCCGAAAGTCCAATACAGTGGTTTTACTGGTTCCCTTCCTGGCCCCGCCAAGAATAGTGAACTCCACCATTTCGTGGTCACTCTGCCCAAGACAGCTCCCGACAATCACATCCTCCACCAGTCCTTCTCTGTTTGTGAAGAGAAGGTCTAGCGGGGCACCACCCCTGGTAGGTTCACTAATCAGCTGCATCAGGAAGCTATCTTCCACGCTCTCCAGAAACCTCCTAGACTGCTTCCTCTGGGCTGTATTGTGCTTCCATGATATGTCAGGGAAGTTGAAGTCCCCCACGAGTACAAGCGCTGAAGATTTCGCAACTTCTGTCAGCTGCCTGTAGAACTCCTCATCCATCTCCTCATCCTGGTTCGGCGGTCTATAGCAGACCCCGACCAGGACACTAGCCTTGTTGTCCCTGCCGATCCTAACCCAAAGGGACTCGATCTTGTCATTCCTAGCCTCGAGTTCTACAACATCGAAAGACTCTCTAATATAGAGAGCCACACCGCCACCCCTTCTGTGCTGCCTGTCCCTTCTGAAGAGCCTATAGCCAGGCATAGCAGCACTCCAGTCATGAGACTGGTCCCACCACGTTTCCGTGATGGCAACCAAGTCGTAGCCTGCCCGCTGCATGATGGCTTCCAGCTCCTCCTGTTTGTTACCCATGCTGCGTGCATTGGTGTAGATGCACTTCAGCTGGGCCATTACCTTATTCCCCGGCCTTGCCATTGTTCCCCCTGGCACAGCTCCAACAATCCTTGCTTCACCCCCATCCCCCTTCTTACCTAGTTTAAAGTTAGGAGTGAGTGAATTGGAAAAGGCAATAGTTAATATTTCTGCAATTATAGAGAAGTTAGAAAACAAAACTCTGGATGCTATAAAGGCTCAACAAGAAGAGATATCTAGTTTATCACAGGTAGTATTACAAAATCGGATGGCCCTAGACTTGTTACTGGCTGCTCAAGGGGGAGTCTGTACAGTAATAAATACAAGTTGTTGTATGTATGTAGATCAGAGTGGAAGGATCTCTACCGACCTGGAAGAAATATGGAAGCAGACAAGGGTCCTACATGAGATCAGTAAAGATGATCTTTCATGGAGTTTTAGTGAAATATGGAAATGCATATTTCCATATTTGAAAGCGGCAGACGGACAGAGAAACAAATGTAAGGACTATAAATCTCAAAATTGGACATTGGAATTCATTATAAAGATACAACAAATGGAAGAATTGGCAACAACCAGCTCTCGCAATTAAGAAACGTGCCAATTCAGCAGATTCCTGACCAAAGGTGAAAAGTACACTGTGAGGAAGACTCGGGGTCTTCCTCCCAGAGACCCCTGCCCACGTCCCAAAGACCCCTGCCCACAATTCTTGGGAGGCTCTACGCAGGCGCAAGGTGCCAAAAGGCTAATTAGCATGAGAAGCGAGGGAAGGCGGGGATAGGTAATGCATATGTATAGGTGCTTGTAGAATATTGATAGATTGATTGTATAAATTCAAGACTGCTTTCCGCTTTGGGTATGCATGATAGGTGGAGAGATCCCCCGTGCATCCAGCGCTGCAATAAAGAATATACCACTTAAAGGAATTTCGGCTTCGATCTTTGAATCAGGTGTGACATAATTATTTACCATTATATGGATAACATTCGGTTTGGTAGGCCAGAATGCTTCCAGGATTCAGATTTAAACTTTATTCAGGATACGTTGGAAGCAAAAGGGTTGCACTTGAACCCCACAGAAGGTTCAACGAAAACAGCCATGGCTATACTTGGGATGGAAAATGTCAGACTCTACTATTCGTCCCCAGAAAGGTGATATAACTATGGTGTTACATAATTTGACAGATGTACAAACATTCCTGGGTAATATTCAGTGGGGTTGCCACATTGTACAAAGACAGAAACAGTATCAGGAGGATGCCACTGACACTAACAGCACTGAAAGTAGGAATGGCATAAGTGAAAAAGGTGATGGCAAGGGTGGAATGATAGGGCAGCATTTTCGAGTTCTGGAATGGATTTTCCTACCGATTCACCCAAAAATGAGTGTTCAGACACGGGTAGAAGCTATCGCAGAGTTAGTACGTTAGGGTCGCTCTCAAAGTATTGAGATCAGCGGGCAGGAACCAGGAGATATTAGTCTGCCGATGACTCAGGATCATTTGGAATGGTGTTTACAGCAGTCCATGCCACTACAAGAAGCTGTGTTAGATTACCCGGGATTGGTACATTCCTGAACTCCAAAGGGGCCTCTCTGGCAAGTTATAAGATCATATAAATGGCAGATAGTACCACGGCTTTCGTCCCGACCAGTGGTGGGTCGCACTGTATACACTGATGCAGGTGCGGCAAGTAGGAAGGCTGTGTGTGTGTGGTACGAGAACGGAAGTTGGGAGAAATACATAATTCCGGGGGAGACAGGGGATTCATTACAAACATTGGCATTGTCTGCAGTTGTTTGGGCTTGTCAGTGCTGGATGCATGAGCCAATTAATTTCGTCTCAGGCTCTCTGTATGTTGTCAACATGGTAAAACGGATAGAGGATGCTTTGATACGGCAAACTAAGAGGTACAGATTGTTATTATTTCTGCAGCTGCGAGATGCCATTCAGGGGAGAACTGCACCTTACTGTGTTATCCATATGCATAGTCACCAGTTCTCAATTGAGTTAATAGAAGGTAATTCACAAGCAGACAATTAGGTGAGTTAAAAAGTCACAGAGGGGCCTGAGAGTGATTTTGCACATGCGCGAGTGTTGCACAAAATGTTCCATCAGCATGCAAAGGGTCTTCGGAGAATACTTGGATTTGCTTGGACAGAGGCAAAAGGAATAGTAAGAGCGTGCGCTTCCTGTAGTCATCATGGACCAGGGTTAGGTTTGGGTATTAATCCACGGGGTGTTAAGGCACTTGAGGTATGGCAAATGGATGTAACGCATGTGCCGGAATACAGTACTGAAAGATATGTGCATGTGAGTATTGATACTTTTTCAAGATTCATATGGGCAACGGCACAGGGGGGGAGAAAAAGCACACAAAAGTGTGTGGCCATTATGAGAGTGCCACAGCAGATCAAGATGGACGATGGTCCAGCGTATGTCAGCAAAAGGGTTAGAAAATTTATGAAAATGTGGGGAGTAAAGCATATCACAGGTGTTCCATATTCTCCCACGGGCCAAGTGATGGTTGAACGATCACATCAGGTTTTAAAGGAACAATTAGTGAGGTTAAAAGAGATCAAGAACATCGATGAGCGATTGTCCGAGGCGGTGTTTGTCTTGAATCACTTATGTTTGACTAGTGACCGAGAAGACCCTCCTGCGAGTATTCACTTTCAAACAATAAATATAGAAGCACCAAATGTGTTCCCTCAAATAAGAATGAATTACCGAGATCCTGCCACAGGAACTTGGAAAGGGCCATACGGGTACAGAAATACAAGTAACACCTGTGGTTACAATGACACTGCTAGGCAGGGTTTAGGGGCTTATGGTGCGGAGACAAGAGGTAACAACTACAGCATTTGGAACAATCTTACAGCTATGGCCTTACCTCCTGATGTTTTTCTGATTTGCGGGGATAGGGCCTGGCAAGGTATCCCTGCAAATGCTATCGGAGGTCCATGTTACTTAGGTAAACTTACTATATTTGCTCCTAGCTTTTCACAGTTGTGGGAGATCACCAGACATACATGGGCATTGCTCGCACCGGATTGCAATGATAATGTTGAATTGCTTGGTGTTGCAGCTAGAGCAGCATTGGCAATTTTAGTGCCAGGAGCAGCAGCTGCGGCCACACTTAATAACTTAGAAAAATTGGTATACTGGACCGAGAAGCAAGCCCATGCCACGACAGAGATACTTGAGGAGATGTTACCAGATCAAAATAGTCTGCGCCATGCGCTCTTACAGGATCGAGCTGCTATTGACTTCTTGCTCCTGGCTCAAGGGCATGGGTGTGAGGACTTTGAGGGAATGTGCTGCATGAACCTTTCTGATCATAATGAGTAAATTCACAAATCCATTACTTTCTTGAAAGAGCGCATGAGAAAGATTCAATATGATATCAATCCTTTCAATCAATGGCTCACTGATTTGTTTGGAATGATGCCTAGATGGTTACTGGGATTAATCAAAGAGGGATTAAAGATTCTGTTTGTTGTGGTGTTAATCACGCAATCATTGCGTGTTGTATTGTAATAAGTGTGGTTAAAGGGTTACTTGTAAAAGTGTTACATTGGGCTTGTTTTGCTCAAAAAGAAAAAAGGGGAATTGTTGAGGGATTTTTGAAACAGCAAAGATCCCATGGCTTGCTGCAGCTGAGCAAACCAAGGTACCAGGACGACTATGAGAAGTTCTCATGACAGTGTTCCCACATCGCCCAATTGAGGAATTTAGAAAAATATTGTTGCCAGCAGCTGGCTTCAAGGCCGGGATCTATGTGACTGCTAATCACAAGGGGGTTGTTTTCTTGCAGTTGTTTGTCTGAGTGCTTTTGACCAATAATCTTGTGTGAGACACTATCCGCCCCTGTTAAGTTTGCTATAAAAGTCAGGCTATTTGGGTAATAGAGAGCATGATCTGACCATACTAGTGTCTGTCGTGTTTTCGGCCATTCTTCCTGCTACAGATGCTGTACATTTTCTTTAAAATGTGAATATTTTTTTTATTTTACTAGTTGCTTTAGGCAATTATACTACATTCTGTGCGTTTTCCCTTGTTAGGTTTATGGAGGTAGTTAAAAGGGAAAATGTTGCTCTGTTTTTTTCTATGTTGTGGTTTTATTTAGGCTTCTTTGGACTAGTTAAAATTGATATATAAAATTTTTATAATTAATGTGTAGCTGGAAATATTTGGTGTTCTCACATTCATAAGAAAGTTTAACTTCTGTAACTTGTTTCTTTCTTGTCTTTTCCTAAAAAATACAGCCTGGTTTTCCACTTGTGTCAGTGTAATTTCTGGTAGGTATTTACTGATGTGATATTATACAAAAACTTGTTTTTTCCTATGACCTGGAGGGGTGAGAGGCAGTAGTATACAGAGAAGCCTCTTTCTTTTTGACATTTATATCTAATTCTATTCTATCCAAATAGACTTCTTGGGAGACTGTAGGGGGAAAGAAGAAAAGCCTTGGAAAAGAAAGTTCAGAAAACAAAGAGAACAGAGAAAAACGAGGGGACAGAGAAGTGAGTCATGGACGGGGAAGTTCCAGCAGACGGGGAAGAGGAGGCAGCCGTTGCCGAGAGTGTACGTACGGGGGTTCATTTTTAAAAGCTTCAGGCACTTTTCTTGCAGGTGAAACTGATTGAGAGCAAATGCGTAATGGAATAAAAACATCAGAGGTATAGCTCCATGCCTAAGTGGTTATAACTTGTTTACGTGACAGGTGTGCTTGATCTCTCTACGTGACTTAGTTTTGGGATAGTCTGTGCTTGTATTTTTCAGTTTCTGTCCTTTTTTTTTATATTAATTGATCTTGTGCTTACTGGTCTTTTATTTAAGTTTTATAATTGAGTCTTTGTAAGACTGAGAGCAAGTATTTCACTGCACAGCTGATATACTTTGTTTCTTTTAATGAAAAAAATATCCAGCTTTGACTCCATCTCCTTTTATGAGTGGGATAACCTGAAAATGTTCTCATCTTCTCATAAGGGGAATGAAAAGACTGGGATCATTATCGATCTCTAGCATGTATTACTGATGTAAGCCAGCCACGGGTGAGTTACTACAACGGAGAAAGTGCTTTGTGAACTAAAACATTAAAAAAAAAAAAAAAAAAAGAAAAAAAGAAAAAGCTACAGTTTATACAGGTCTAATAGGACCTTGTGCAAAAGAGGACTAATATTTTCCAAAGCAGGTAGCATCACAGTATCATCCAGGTTGGAAGAGACCTCCAGGATCACCTAGTCCAACCTCTGACCTAACACTAACAAGACCTCAAACACATTAAATTGCTATTGGATTCACATAGCCTTTTTCTACTAAGCTTTCTTAGCAATGTCTAAGCTACATGTATTGCCTATAAGAGCCATCAACAGCACTGATAAATGAGCAGAGAATGGAGAGAGATGAAAAAAAAACAACAGTCCTTTTCCTTTAGAAGCAGGAAAAAGTATTTATAACAATCGCCAACTTTTCTAATTAATTATTGGAATATATTAAAATATTGTGCCGTTGAAAGCATTGAGAAGCTCTGTAGGATAGAGTAACATCAAAAATGAAAGTGAGAGGCAAGATTTTTGCCAGAAACAGATGCTGTTTGTTTCTTTCCTAAACTGAAACTAAAGATTTTCAGATGGTTACCAGATCTTGTGTTTTCTTCCCACCTTTTTATGCATGTGTTAATGGTTTTGCTGCTGCTATTAGGACAAACTGTGCAATACAAAATACTCAGCAGTGTTTTAAGTGGACAGTCATCAATTTTCTTCAGAGAGCCAGCCATCTTTCAGAATATCTACATATCTACTCAGCAGTTTCCCACAAAATAGAAGTTGTAGTGCTTTTCAAACATCTAGCCTTCTGTCACCATCATCCTCTGATTTAAATACAGAGGAGAGTTAAATTCTCCTTGTTGTGTAGGGATGTGACACTGACAGATAGGAGATTTGGTATTCTTGGTTATCCCTTATTCTTCCACTGTTGCCAACTAACACATTCACAAGAAAGTGAAGTATGAGGCAGTTCGTTTCTTCCCTATTCAGAGAAGTGGGACTATAACTAATTTAATAGGGTAGGCTGCAAAGCGCTGCACTTCTTCAAAAAATAAGCATCTGATATGTTTCCCTCTTAATGGACATTTTCCTTTCTAATTGTCAAATTCCAAGTAAGCAACTTGCTTGTGGCTAGGCCTGCAAAGAAGAGGGGTGACTGAGATATCTTGACCATACCACTCTGAAAATCTTATATTTCCTTTTCAAAGGATTCAATTTAAGCAGATGGCTATATTGTCTTATGTATGAATCTCTAAAATTTCTGTTAAGCTGTCTTCTCTCCACAGTTAGAGATGAAGAGAATGGATTGGACAACAGTCAAGGAGACAGGCCTTCAGATTGTGGAAAACGTGGCCGTGGGAGAGGTGAGATGGTGGCATTGGTGTGGGACTGGCCCTGATTTCATTTCCTGAAATGGAATCCCTCCCCCCCCCCACATGTGTTTACTTAAAAACTTAAGTATTTGGTTATCCTTTGATTCCATAAGCACTTCATCCACTTTTAATTTAGTTACTTGCCACCCCCCATAGCCCTTCTCATTGTTTGGTCTTAGAGTGACTTAAAGGTGATTTATATCAATTATTTTTGCAATTTTTCGTGTGGTATGCTGGTGTGCTCTTTGAGGGAATGTGCTGCATGAACCTTTCTGATCATAATGAGTAAATTCACAAATCCATTACTTTCCTGAAGGAGCACATGAGAAAGATTCAATATGATATCAATCCTCTCAATCAATGGCTCACTGATTTGTTTGGAATGATGCCTAGATGGTTACTGGGATTAATCAAAGAGGGATTAAAGATTCTGTTTGTTGTGGTGTTAATCATCATTGCGTGTTGTATTGTAATAAATGTGGTTAAAGGGTTACTTGCAAAAGTGTTACATTGGGCTAAGTTTGCTCAAAAAGAAAAAGGGGGAATTGTTGAGGGATTTTTGAAACAGCAAGGAGGCCATGACTTGCTGCAGCTGAGCAAACCAAGCTACCTGGACGACTACGAGGAGTTCCCATGACAATGTTCCCATATCACCCAATTGAGGAATTTAGAAAAATATTGTTGCCAGCAGCTGGTTTCAAGGCCGGGATCTACGTGACTGCTAATCACAAGGGGGTTGTTTTCTTGCAGTTGTTTGTCTGAGTGCTTTTGACCAATAATCTTGTGTGAGACACTATCCGCCCCTATTAAATTGGCTATAAAAATAGTCAGGCTATTAGGGTAATAAAGAGAGAGCATGATCTTACCATACTGGTGTCTGCTGTGTTTTTGGTCGTTCTTCCTGCAACAAAGCCTGAATTTTCATCAGACCCATATATTGTCCAAAATACTGCTGTTTCCTTAATTGGTTCTTTTGTCCAGACTGATACACAATATTTGACCTTTTTTTTTTTTTTTTCTTTTAACATCTCCTCTAATTTTGAGATTATTTTTCCAATTTCTTATCATTCTTCAGGAAGAACTGTCGGTAGGCACTCCCCCAGGGATATCTCCCTCTCCCCTGGAACCCATACGTCCCATTTTTCCCAGCCCTTGTCAGTGTGCTGCTACAGGGTACCTCCTGCTACAGGGTACCTCCTGCAGGGTACCACACACTAACATTCCAGTTCTGGAAAATGGGGGTTTACTGCCAAACACTTCCCTGTGCAAGGGCTTACCATACACCAAATTTCCCAAGACTCTTTCTTTCTCTCCCTTTTCTTATGCTTCGTCCGTCTCCAGCCGCGCCCCTCACGGAGCTACATAACCACGGATCATGGCTCCACACTCGCTTCGTACAAAAGTACGTCTTAATCACGCAACGCACAGAGTTTCATCCGACCCCCAAGGCAATACTTAATATTTCTTACCTTGGTAAGAAATACCTTGGTGCAAAGAGTTACCGGATCAATTCATAAACCCCGGAGTGCCTACCTTCTTCCTTTCCCCACTACTTCAAGGATCCTGCCTCTTTAATCAGTCTCGGGCCCTCTGTCAGCTCTCCGCAGAACCACCACCACTGATGCTCAGGCGAGGATCTCAGTGAAGTACTAATTTATTTGCGATTGTAATGGTGGGCGCCCCACAAGTGGGAGAGCGCCTACTAGATCCAAAACACAGTTTATATACTTTTTGATGACAGGACCCTTCCCCACTGAGAGGGTAATCCAGGTTCACAGTTTATCCCATGCTTCACAAACAATGCATGGCCTTCAGTTGCCGGCCTGTTAAATTTCAAATTTCTTTTGACTTTTTTACAGTTTGAAGTGGTAATGTTTCTTCACTTATCTGACTTGACACCCTGAGTTTCACCTAATTGTTCTAAGGAGTCTGGTTGTCTGCATTTTACACGGTCGCCTGCTAAGCTTTCTTATCACTGTAAGCATATCTCAATACCACATTCCTTAACTTTAAACAATGTAACTCTGCAAAAACAACATTTCTATTCCCACAGTCTCAAGAAACTTCATGCATATGTAACTCTTCACCACATATAAACAAGGCAAGTGCTGTGTTGGGGTGCACACGACTTTGGTGGGTCTACCCCTCTGTGCTGCCCAGCGCTGAATAAACATACCTACTTTACAATCTTACTGATTGTGGAGTTTGTTTTCCGCATGTCAGCACGAGGGGAGGTTCAGGTTGGAAATGACTGTTATAAATGAAGTCTCAACTCAATCTGAATCTAGTAATATTTATAAAAGAAATATTTATAAAAGGTAAGTAAACAGCACTGGGTGTGCAGGGAGTCTACACTCCACCAACACGCACACACAAATATCAAACATTCTAAATATATAGAACATTGCTTTTACATGCTAAACCCGAGTATGCCTATACATATGTACAATCAGGAAAGGTAACAAACAATCCTTTAAGTTCCATGACTTAACTGTCTCCATTTTCCATTCCTTTTCTTGACTAGAAACTGATTAAGGAGGTATTGGGGAGACATTGGGGAGGCAAGGACAATCCCCAGACATGGACTGTATATCTCGAAACAAGACACTGAAACTCATGATAAGGAAGCGGCAGACGGACAGAGAAACAAACGTAAGGACTATAAATCTCAAAACTGGACATTGGAATTCATTATAAAGATACAACAAATGGAAGAATTGGCAACAACCAGCTCTGGCAATTAAGAAACGTGCCAATTCAGCAGATTCCTGACCAAAGGTGAAAAGTACACTGTGAGGAAGACTCGGGGTCTTCCTCCCAGAGACCCCTGCCCACGTCCCAAAGACCCCTGCCCACAATTCTTGGGAGGCTCTATGCAGGCGCAAGGTGCCAAAAGGCTAATTAGCATGAGAAGCGAGGGAAGGCGGGGATAGGTAATGCATATGTATAGGTGCTTGTAGAATATTGATAGATTGATTGTATAAATTCAAGACTGCTTTTTGCTTTGGGTATGCACGATAGGTGGAGAGATCCCCCGTGCATCCAGCGCTGCAATAAAGAATATACCACTTAAAGGAATTTTGGCTTCGATCTTTGAATCAAAACAAGTCTCAATTTTCCATTCCTTTTGAACAATATGTCTCGCTTTAAGTTGTCAATCAACTCGGTCTTCAGGCCTTATGTATCCCGTTCTTCCCAGATCGAAGAAAAGCATATCCATCTCCTTTTCAAGGCCAATAGGGCCTGGGTCAAAAGGCACGTCCAGGTCACCTGGGGGCGTAACAGCAAAAGCCTTCGATGGCAGTAGCGGTGGGGGGGCCGATGGCGTAGCAGTCGGATCAGTAAAGGAGCCCGCAGCTCCCTCACTGTTTGGCAAACCACACGTTTCTGACTGTGGTCCCACATGGCTCTTCAAGGCCTCAGAGACTGCTCGCCAGGTGCCGACCAATCCCACTGCAACCTTGTCGTTTTTAGTTGCAGAGTCCCACACCTTGACCTCAATTTGGTCCCATGTTTCAGGATCATAAACTGTCTGATTGTTAATAAGGAGAACAAGCTGTAAGGTTACCAGGACAGTCTTTGTTCCTAAGGACGTATGATTCCCCATAACGCACAACTGCTTACCAGCGAGGGGCAGTCGTGTGTGCAAGTCCGCTTCTCTCAGCTTGAGCTTCTTCCCAGCTCCAGATACTTTCTATACGAGCTTCTTTGAGCAGTTTGCTGAGTCTGTCCAAACCTATCTTCATAAGGCGATCAATGTGCCTGTTCCCATCCTGGTCTCCATTCTGCTAGCCTGTTCCTTTTCATTCCTTCTTGTTGCTTCTTTATTGATGACATAACTTCATCGTGTTGCCTTTTTTTTTCTTGAGGACAGGCTCCCCTCTTATACCCTTCTCTCCACAGCAGTTCTTTTCAAAACAACTTTTCATTGGTCAAACAACTTTGAATATAACAACAACAGCAAACCCCCAGAAACTTCCATGCTGTAATAGCTGGAGAACAAGCAACCTGAGACTGCATGGCATCTCCTGAATCACCCTTCTTTGTTCCCTCTATATTCTTTTACATTCCTCATGGCCTCATCGTTGAGTCTGATGTTATCATCAACCTTGGGGCTTTCCGACCCCCATGACCACACTCCCACATCTCCCCCTTCTTTATTAATATCAACCATTTTCTCGATACGAATTACCACTCCATATATAACATGATGAAACATTTCTTCTCAGAAAGAGCAGTCAGGCATTGGGACAGGTTGCCCAGGGAGGTGGTGGCATCACCGTCCCTGGGGGTGTTTAAGGAAAGGTTGGACGATGTGCTTTGGGACAGGGTTTAGGGGGTGACAATAGTGGTAGGAAACGGTTTGAAGTAGGACTCCTGAAGGCATGTAACTACACTGATCTTACAGGTGGTAACGTTCTTTGGGGTTATCGCGCACCCAACACCCTCCCCCGCCCTCTCCAAAGCGGAATGGGGCGAGGCCAAGCCCCTCCCCAGCGCCCCTTCCCTCCATGTAGGCGTGGTCACCCCTCCTCTTCCGCCGTGCGGGGAGGTGGTGTCCCGGTCACGTGAGGGGGAAGCGGCCGACTTCCCTCGCCCTGCTCACGTGGGGGGGGGGGGGGGGGAAGGAAAGGTGGGGAAATTAGGTGGAAGGTTTAGCGGATGGGCGCGCGCTGCTGGTGCGTGTAGGACTGCGGCGCGCGGAGAGGGTAGAGAAAAAGAAAAAAAAAAAAAAAAGGCGGTGGGTGGGCGTGCGCGGTGTCACGTGGCGGGGAGTGCGTGGGGGTTGGGGGTAGCGGCCCGGCGCGCGCGGAGGCGAGCAGGGGTCAGTCACGTGACGGCGGTGGATGCTGCTGCTTTGTGAGCACATTGGGCAGGTACCGGCGGAGGGCGGGGGGGAGCCCGCGCGCTAAACAACTCTCCCCCCCCTTTCTTCCTCTACCGTAACCGCTGGGCCGTTCGGCAGCGCTCGGGCTTGGCCCGGCGGCTCTCGGCTCTTCGGGCCCGACCGGGGCAAAGCGGGGGCGGCGCCGCGCCGTTGCCTGCTCCCCTTCCTTTTGTGCCTCATGGCCCCCGTGGGCCATCGGGGCCTTCTCCGCACCCGTTCTGGTGGCCTGTGCCCGGCCTCGCCTCCGTGTCGCCTTCCTTGTTTCTTTTGCTGGGTGTCCCTTTGGTGCTCAGGGGGACGGTGGTGGCACGACGAGGTGTCCCCGATCACCGGAGGGTTACCTGGGGAAGGAGTTCCGCTCGCTGGGGGTCTCCTCTGGCTTTTCACCCAGCCCCTACGTGAGGGGGGGGGGGGCGGCAAGGCAGGGCTTTGCCGTCAGTCTTGCTTATGTTATAGTAAAAAAAAAAAATTTACAGCAGGAAAATGAGTCCTTCTAGAAGAAGCTGGGTGGAGATCAGGCCTGCTGTGTGTGATGGTGAGGAGCTCAACTCCAAAATCTGCAATAAATAATAAAAAATAAGTGCTGCTATGCCCGTGTTGCAGTTCTAATGCACATGAGGCTTGTTCAGGGGGAGCTAGGTATGAGGTCGATCTCTTACAGGTGTGTGTGGAGGCACAGGACTCTTGGTGGTGTTGGGAGGAGCGTGCAGAGCTCTGTGAAACAGAAACTGAGGGCTTTGTGCTGGGCTCTGCCTGGGGAAGGTCGTGAGACCAGCCTGCTTTTCCATTCTCCAGCAGCACTCAGGCCCCAGTCATCTCTCAATTTGAGTGATGTTTGATCTCTCAATTTAAGTGATGTTTGCTCAGAACAAAACAGCAGTTCAAGGTGATCCCCTCTGGGGTGGCTGGTGAAATGGAGGGGCCGTCCTGGTGTGAGAGCAGTGTGGTGGTTTTTTTTTTTTTTTTTTTTTTTTGTCGTTCCCCCCACAATGAGAGAAATTGGAGCTGAGTGTGAGGGAGGGGAGGGGGAGGATGTGCCAGGCCTGGTGGAACTGCACTTTCCAATGAAATGGAGCCCTGTACGGCAAAGGGCAGCAGCTCAGCTTTTTTTTTTTTTTTTTTTTCTCTTGTATTTACCAGGCCCTTTCAGCAATTCTTTCAGTTGTATCACGTTCTCCAGAGGAGTATGGGTTTGAATTCTTACCTGACTAATTCAGTGTTTATACCTCAGCCTGATCTTTCTATGGTGGTTTGACCTAACTTGTTGAAAGAATTTATTTTTAATCTTATCCTAGGTAACTTTGAAGCAAGCTAAGCTAAATCAGTTTGTAGCATTAATGATGTTTTGGGACTCCTGGAGGGTTACACGAAGAAACTGGATTAACTGGTGTAAACTGATTTTGATGTGTAGTCTGGAAAATGGATGAGCGTTTGGTAACTTCAAGGAGGGAGGGAGGAGTGGGAATTGGGCAATCTCTGTTCTTCTTTCTTCTAGCTGCACTTCTATCTGTGTATTGATTACAAATTTGTTTATAGTAATAAAATCAAATGCAGGGAAATTCAGACATTTAGGCAGGTTCACTTGCATTGTTTTGGCTAGGCTTCAAAAAAGCTTCTGGTGCCATGAATTACAAAAGGATTTGACCATTCCAGATGGGAGTTAGATTTGCTGCTACAGTGTAGGGGAAGCTAAGAAAAATCCTATCAACAAAGTCTTGCCAGTTACTAGTATCTACTATTTCTTGGGTTTATTTTTTTATTTATTTTTAGCTGTCTTTTTTGCAATTGTGGAAGTAATTTCTGATGTTATCTATTTCTTCCATGGACTTATGGTCCTAAATGAAGGAATCATCACATTTTTGCTCTGTTCTATTTTTGTTGCTGGTGTCCCCTAGGGATAGTGATCATAGCAGAATAATAAGCTGTTTAATAGTGCTTCAGAAATGTATGTATCATAGAATATTAATATTCTGATAATTAGCATTACTAGTAATGTTTACTTATAATTTTGGTACTGTTTAATACCATACTTGGAATAGGCTATTGGTCAAAGAGTAAGAAAATAAATATCTATCTTTTATTAATCTTTTTATCTTTGCATCTTGTTTGATAAAAGCACAGGAGCAGGACTCTGAAGAAGTGTGTCCTGCTTTCAGACTTGCAGCAGCCTTGTATGACCTTGGTAAAAGAGAAGCCCAGTGACTTGTCCCCTTCATTAGATGATAGATTGAAAGAAACTTGGTGTTATATTTGTATGCTTCAAAACTAGTGAATAGAAGGTGCTAGAGGAAATACAAGTAATACCTACTTCAGTGTTGTCCTTCTGCTGGAGCTTTTATTTATTTTTCTGTTGCAGTCTGCTCACTGGTAGCCCGTTGCGTCCTCTTTGCTTTTCAGGGACCTAGTTTGGGCTTGTACTGTTTTTCATACAGCTTCCCTAAACAACTTATGCTCTTTAAAGTGTGAGTTGGGATGAAAGGTTGTAAAGAAGCTCCTCTGCAATTACTTAAGGTTCACATATTCCAAAAAATTGTACAAAAGGATTCTCTGCTTTGCTCTAATGTGAGAGGACGCTCTTTAATTTTGGCCAACCAACCGTCAGAGCTCCCAGTCCATCCGGGGGCTCTTGCAATCTGTTTCACAAGTGTGTTCAGCCCTTTTTCCCCCCATGACTTC